GATCGCCTCAGCAGGCGCAGCAGACGCAGAGGCCCCGTGGGCAGTCCCCCGCCCGCGCCGCCGGCGATGAGCAAAACCATGGTCAAGATCCAGGTCTCAAACACCATCAGCCCCACCTCGGTCTGGTGGCGAACCCATTGGAGTGTCCAACCAACAAGCCAACCAAAAAAGGCATCCTGAAAATAAGACAGACCTGCTTGGGGTTGGTTTCAAGGGACGCCAAAGAGCAACTACTACCATACTGTGGATGGTTGCGAAATGCAGTTCGCACCACCGTTCAGAAACCATGGTCGAAACTAATACGGTGTTGGTCCTCGCAAGGACCGAATCTCCAAGCAAAGGGGACAGTGATGGAAAACTAAACTTGGCTGGAAAAAAGGGACCCCAGCAAAAAAATAGTTTTTCGCCTGGTTCGTGGAAAGCAATGGGGACCCCAACAAACTTACCCCTTAAAACTCCAAGCAACCTGGGGAAGTTCTCATCTTTTACAGACATATAGCCCATGTTACACAAAAAGTTGTGTTTTTAAGAGGTAAGAAAAGCAAAACAAAAGCAAAAAAAATGGCTAATTCTGGTTGGGAGTAAAACGGCCAGAGGCTGAACTTCCGCTTCCCGCCCGTTGGTTGGCGCCCGCCGGGGCCGGGAGGTTTTTGCGGGCCCTGTCCCAAAAAACATCCTCGGAAATAAAACGAAGCCAAACCGGGCTCCAAACCAGGGGTCGCTGGATTTGCAAATCCAGAAGTTGAAATCCATCGGTTTAGGTGGCCTTTCTCTGGGAAATGGAGGGATCCATTTCTGTCATACGTGGCTCCCAGCTCCCTTGGGACACGGAGCTACCCGAACATCCAAATCCAAGCCACAAACTGAATATGTTTTCTTCTTGGGGTCCCAAACCCCCGCCCCCCCCCCCCCCCCAAAAAAAAAAAAAATCGGTTTTCCTCGGTTTCCCTACCACCAAAAAGGGGCAATGCCGAACCCTGACAGTAAACCCCTCACTTATTACTTGTAGGGAAACCCTCCCCCAAAAAAGGGGTGAGAAGGGCACCTAGCTGGGGGACCTAGGTCATGCCACGGCCAAAGTCAAGAACCCTTCATGCACAGTTGAGCCTGGCAATGCCATGGGCCCAACTTACGAACCAGCGGCGTTTTTGCTTTTGCGGTGTTGTTGTTCTTGTTTGCTTGTTTGTTTTTCCCGAATGCGTAGCATAAGGATCTCGTTTCATCTTGCGGGTCTGGGGGTGAAGCCTGGTTCGCCGGATGTTGTGCAACCGCCCGCGACCGTTCGCAACCGTCCGCAACCGTTCGTATGATTGCGCTATGGTTCTCCAAGTGGGGAAGCGCAGAACGCGTGAGTTTGATGAGTTGTGATGTGCTGTTTTCGTCGGCCCCGTGCGCGAATCGTAGCTTCTCAAGCTCGACGTGTCTTGTTGCGCAGCGCAGGCGTAGTGTTTCGTGAGGATCACCTTTGCATTGCAAATGCAGTGGGGTTCACGTTTCAGGGGCCGTCGTTTTGAGGTGCTTTGCTTGGAATGCTCGCGCAAGCGTTTACTGGAGTGTCGTTGTTGTTGGCCCTGTCGTACAATCGGCTCGTGACTGCAGATTTGCAAGAAATCGGTCGAAATCATTCTGGTGCTGCAGTCCCGCGCTAGTTTTCCGCGCGCGGTGCGTTGTCAATTCTGATTTCGTGGCAGGCGCAGCATTTTATTTTGAGCGCTTTGCATGTCGCTGTAACGTGATTTTTCGCGACAGGCGCAGCACTTTAAAGCTTTCCGTGCAGGTTTCGTGGCAGGCGCAGCACTTTAGAGCATTTTGTGCAGATTTCGCGGCAGCGCCGTACTTTCGAGCTTGCGCGCCGATGTCGTGACAGGCGCAGCACTTTGCATGGGTCGAATCGCTCTCGCTGTTGCGCGGTGCGCTTTTTCAAATGCAAAGTGAACCCTCTGCGCACTTTGGGTGGGTCGAATCGCCCTCGCTGTGGCGCAGTGCACTTTTTGAAGATGCAAAGTGAACCCTCTGCGCACTTTGGGTGGGTCGAATCGCTCTCGCTGTGGCGCGGCGCACCCTTTGAAAATGCAAAGTGAACTCTCTTGGCACTTTGGGTGGGTCGAATCGCTCTCGCTGTGGAGCGGCGCACATTTTGACACTAGAGACGTGTCGAGCGACCTTTTGGAGAAGTGTCGATCAGAAGTGTCGACCAGAAGTGCTGCTCAGAAGTGTTGCTCAGAAGCGTCCGTCAGCAGAAGTGTCTACCAGAAGTGTCGATCAAAAGCGTTGCTCAGAAGTGTTGCTCAGAAGTGTTGCTCAGAAGTGCCGACCAGAAGTGTCGCGCGGAAGTGTCCCTCAGAAGTATCGATCAGAAGTCTGGCTCAGAAGTGCTGCTCGGAGATTTCGATCAGAAGTGTTGTGCAGAAGTGTCGCTCAGAAGCGTCAATCAGAAGTGTTGCGCAGAAGTGTCTACCAGAAGTGTCGATCAGAAGTGTCGATCAGAAGTGTTGCTCGGAAGTGTCCCTCAGAAGTGTTGTCAGAAGTGTTGATCAGACGTGTTGTTCAGAACTGTCGGTCAGAAGTGTGGATCAGACGTGTTGCTCAGAAGTGTCAATCAGAAGTGTGGCCCAGAAGTGTTGCTCAAAGCTGTCGATCAGAAGTGTCGACCAGAAGTGCGGATCAAAAGTGTCGCTCAGAAGTGTCGATCAGAAGTGTTGCTCAGAAGTGTCGCTCAAAAGTGTCGCTCAGAAATGTCAGTCAAAAGTGTTACTCAGAAGTGTCGCTCACAAGTGTCAATCACAAGTGCGTTCAAAAAGTGTTGGAGTACCCACATTGCTCAGAGGCATCGCTCAGAAGTGCCGCTCAGAAGTGTCGCTCAGAAGCGTTGCTCAGATGTGTGCTGAGATACGTGTTCAGGAGTGCCGCTCAGCAGTGTTGCTGATGCGTGTGTGTGCGTGAAAAGTGGCTCAGACGTGTCGCTCAGTGTTGCCCAGAAGTGTGCTCAGAGGTGTCGCTCAGAAGCGTCGCTCACAAGCGACGCTTATACATGTTTGCGCGTGTTTGCTCAGAAGTGTTGCTCGGAAGTGCTGATCAGAAGCATCGATCAGGAGTGTTGCTCAGACCTGTCGGTTAGAGGTGTCGGTCAGAAGGTGTCGATCAGCCAGAAGTGTCGCTCAAATGTGTCGCTCAGAAGTGTCAGTCAAAAGTGTTGCTCAGAAGTGTTGCTCAGAAGTCTAGCGCGCGCTGGAAAATCGCATCTTTGTAGTGCATGTCTAGTGCGCGAAGTACAGGTTCCCAGGTCTAGCTGGAAAATCGCAGCTTTGTGGCACAATATAGTACGCGAAGTACAGGTTTCTGCAAAATCACAACTTTGAAGTGCAAGTCTAGTGCACGAAGTACCGGTTTCCAGCTCCAGCTCGAAAACCGCCACTTTGTAGCACAAGTCTAGCGAGCGAAGTACAGGTGTCCAGCTCTAGCTGAGAAATCGCAACTTTGTAGTACCAGTCTGGTACGCGAAGTGCAGGTTTCCAGCTCCAGCTTGAGAATCTCGACTTTGTAGTACAAGTCTAGTACGCGAAGTACAGGCTTCCAGCTCTAGCTAGAAAATCACAACTTTGTAGTACAAGTCTAGTAAGCGAAGTACAGGCTTCCAGCTCTACATTGCAAATCGCAACTTTGTAGTACCAGTCTGGT